TGTAATTTGATATGTTGGGGGATTTGAACTGTTATGTACTCCTACTATATAATTGAGAAAAAGAATTTCCCCAGGGTAGGCGTGCATTTTCAAGTGATGATGTTATCCAACATTGGGCAGCAGGTCCATGCTGTGAAAATTGTGTGAAATGGAGACTCTTATGCGAGTGTTTTGCAGTTTTGACGCCCCGCTGTTGATGGGTGTTTGATGAATTTTATGCATCCATGGAAGTTCGTCCATGTGTAGGGAGAGATGCTACTCCACCTTTTGTGCGATCAGATGGTGTACATTCTGTTAGACAGATCATGCTGATCGATCCGGTCAGTGGAAGACTCGAGCCATGATGGAACAAGACTACAGAAGAACTCAGCACTACGGTTCATGCACTATCCGTCCAGTCTCTGCTGTTTTTTGTTTGTTTGAACCAATTGAATCAAAATTCATTATGTGTGATCATCATTTCATATAATTTGTCTGAACCAGAACGACAAATACGTATCCCCGCCACCCACTCTGGCATTTACTAATGAAATATCCTTCACCATCTGACTAGAAATGGAACGAAATGTCTAGAGGACGTCAGGATCAGGCTCCTTGATCCCCGCAAAAAAAGAGAGAGAGAGAGAGATCAGGCTCCTTGAATGCAAAAGGGTTTTTGTGTCTCGGCCAAAGAGCTTTTGCCGGTAATATTCTCCCTACCGGAGGAGCCTTGCTTTGGTGCTGGTGGACGGAACGCAACAGAGGCAATCATGGCGAAAGAAGACTTGAGCTTGAAGCTTTTCGATACACTGACGAATGGAGGGAGTCTAGGGCCAAAACCCACTGTACCGGTCGTGCAGCGGTGTAGATGGGGGAGGCCGCCGAGTCATATGGTGAGGATCAATACCGACGAGGCGTTTTCAGAGCGGTCTAGAGCAGGTGGTTGGGGACTCATCTGTATGATGATACACTGGATATTTGGTTTGCAGCTGCTGGTGCCAAACACCCTATATCAGGCTGTGTCCTTGGCAGATCGGTTAGGAGTTGAGCGGGCAATTTCTGACACCGGCTGCCTTGTTTTGAAGCAAGCCATTTCCTCCAATGCCTACGACCTTGCGCCTCTTGGTGCCCTGTTTAGCGATATTAAGCTTAGAACCCTCTTCATTGAGGCCCAAGTGGTGTATGCACCGAGATCTTGTAATAAACCAGCGCATGAGCTGGCTGCTATGGGTGCAGGCTTGTCTGATGGTGAACTTAGAGAGTGGTTCACTGGCTACCCTGATGATGTAATCAGTGTTGTGACCGGCGATCAGGCCGTGCCGTAATGGAATACGAGTGTTCCATTTCAAAAAAAGGGAACAAAATAAGATTGGATTGTTCCTCAATTGGAAGGAGATGTTTTGAGCAATCAGAGAATCACTTGACAAACAGTTCTTTCTTTAGGGAAGCCACTTGGTGGACTTCAGTCGATCAGGTACCAGTACACGTTTATCATTGGATAAAACATAGCTAAGGGGTTCATCGTCCCAATACACATGAGAATAAGAATTAAACATAATCACTTCCATACCTTGACCAAACAAACCGTTGCATGCTTGAATCACTTCCAGGCGGTCAGACTCGACGATGATGGTGTTACATCCCAAGTTTTCAACCAGTTCCGGGGCTCCGGGCCCTTCTGGGTAGCGGTCGCCTCCACCGTGGCCGAGTCCAACATGTGATCAAGAACCCAGCGACCGGTTCACCATGATCATTGCGGAGGACCGCAGCCACTGCCCCTGTTCCATTTTCAAAAAGTATGATGATGATGCATCCACATTCAGTTTATAATAATTCCATGAGGCTTCCCTCATCATATCAGGACTGGTTGTGAACTGTTCAGAGCTTTTGCATAGTTCGCGCCAATAGCCTGAATTGCAAACACAGTTGACTGAGCAGGTTCCACCTCTCCTCGATTAACAACCTCCCGTCGCTGCCACAGGATATACCATGCCCCTACGGCGATCGTCTCCTGTACACCATACCGACCCATAAACGCTGAATGTTTGACAGTACTCCTCAAAGTTTCCTCAAGCATCACTGACCCGTGATCGATCAATCTGCATTGCTTGTTTGATGAACACCTCAAGTCCCTGCGCTTGCCAAACCTTCCTCGCATGCCACGCCTCCCGTGAACATCATGTGCTTTATATCCTTGGCTCCCCAGCAGCAGATGGGACATTGGGGTGAGGTCTTGATATGCCTACCTGCAAGAACAATCATCCCCGGTATCACACTGTGAAGAGCCCTCCATAGGAAACAATACCTTGCTGGGGACATGTAAGTTCCATAGGAGATCTCCCATACTGGGTTCAGCCTCGAGCTGCCTTGTCCATCCGATCGACGTCTCCTTGAACCAACTTGTTGTGCCATTCATTATAGTATGCAGATCTTACAGAAAAGGCGTAATTTTTTTATTTATGCCAAGCTATAAAATCTTCTAAGTTCCCAGTATTCAGGGCAGCAAGGCGATGTCATTAGCCTAATCGAGATGAGGTGTAACAATATGTCTTGGAAATAAATTGGCATGTACATAATACAATGGTGGTATGACGGACAACGAAGATGGTATCACGACCTCAGCCCTCTTGCACGACCCTATCACCAATAATCTCCACAAGAGCATGATCCATCCTTAAAATGATGAAAGCGCTGTAAATCTCTAACAATAATTTCTCGTTCAGCGGACTTGGAAATAAACTTGATTACTGCATGGCAATCAGTACAGACCCGGAGATTCTTTATCACATGGATTACTGAACCCGGGACAGAGTTCATCAGAGCAAAAGCAACAGCAAGCTTTTCACTGTGGATGCGCAACGCAGATTCTTTCTCCTCTTCATCCAAATCATGATGAACAGAACCCGTGTTTGGTACATAGCCTGCTTTTTGCGCTATCTCAAGCAGTTTCCCCAGATAAGAATAGATCTCCTTGTGCTGAGGATGACTCGTGTCGCCAACATAAAACACATGGGTTTTACCTTTCAATTCAACTGAGCTATACCCTGGAGGTTTTTCTATTCCTCTTGTTTTAACCAGAACTCTCATTCTCTCCACATCTGTCCACATTCCAGCTTCTGCATATATATTGGACAATAAAACATAGTACCCACTGTTGGTCGCATCTAACTCAAACAATCTTTTCGCAGAAATTTCTGCCAGCTCAACATTTTTCTGGACTCGGCATGCACTAAGAAGAGCTCCCCAGATAGCAGCATCAGGTTTAACCTTCATTTCTTTAATGAGGCCATAAGCCTCATCAAGACAACCGGCACGGCCAAGAAGATCCACCATGCATCCGTAGTGTTCCACTCCAGGTTCAATCCCAAACTTATTCCTCATGGTTTTGTACCAATAACGGCCCATATCTAAAAGACCAGCATGACTGCAAGCAGCTAAAACGGAGATAAAAGTTATGTAGTTAGGGTTTTGCCCCGATCTGCACATCTCATTGAAAACTTCAAGGGCGTCTTGTCCATGACCATGCATACCATAACCAGTAATCATGGCAGACCATGACAGGACATTCTTCTGCTTAATTTTGCCGAAAGCCTTTCTTGCCATTTCCACTCTTCCGCACTTGCTGTACATATCAACTACAGAAGTTCCAACATAGGTATTTTCCTCCAAACCCATTCTTACCACCTGATTATGAATGCGTTTTCCAGTCTGTATCGTCCCAGCATGTGCGCAAGCCAGTAACACAGCAGAGAACGTCACAGCATTGTACCTAATGCCTCCACCAACATTCAGCATCTTGCCATACAGCTCCAGGGCCTCCGCCGACAACCCATTCTGAGCATACAGCGCAATCATCGTATTCCAGGACACCACATCCTTCTCCATGGTATCAAACACCTTCCTCGCAACCGGCAGGTCACGACCACCGCCTTTGGCATAAGCGTCTAACATCGTGTTGACCACCCCAGCATCCACGTCCAAGCCAATCTTCACAATAAGCGCATGAAGGCTAGCAGTAATTCCGCGGACAGGGACACGGGCCGACGAGGAGAACGCCACAAGCACAGCCGCCTCGTCCACCGCCATGGCAGAACCAGACGCGAGCAAGTCGCGGAAGAGAGAAAGCGAGGGGTAGACTAGATTGTTTCGCAGGTAGCCAGAGCACATGGCCGTGATAATGACGGGGTTGGGGCTGGGAATTTCATCGAACGCCTTACGGGCGTCGAGCGGGCGGCAGCAGTGGTTGTACATGTGGAGAAGAGCGGAGGCGGAGAAGGGGTCAGAGGGAAAGAGGCCGGAACGGAGGGCAAGGAGGTGTAGCTGGCGGCCGGCGGCGAGGGAGGTGGCGGCGGCAGCTGCGCGGAAGGCGGGGGGAAGGGCCGGGAGGAGCGCGGCCGGGTTAGCGCGGAGAGCGGCGGCAAAGGTGGCCAGAGCGGCGACGGCGTCTCCGGAAGCAAGGAGGTCGGCGACGGCGGCGGACCAGGAGGCAGGACGGGAGGGGTCCACGGCGCGGAGGAACAGTGCGCGGACGGAAGGGGTGGAACTGTGGATGGGCGTGCTCTGTAGGCTTTGAGTGTTGGAGGCGGGGACTGCCGTGGAAGGCGACGCCGCTCGTGGGTTGAGCGGAGGCTGCACTCTTGCTGCCGCCATTCCTGAGATGCCGGTGGTGGCCACAACGCAGCCAGGAGCGGAGGTTGATGAGCGCTTTCGTGAGAGAGGTTCCGAGGGAGAAGGAAGACGTAGGGTGTGTTTGGTTTAGAACGCAGAGAGGACCAGCCCACACGTCTGTGTGTGGGCAAAACAACTAGCATCCATATGTTTCTTTTTTTTCTCCTGGTCCCTCTTACACGCGTGCGTGTGGGCGAAATAGATAACGCCCACATGCCCGGTACATCAGGCCTTGCACCTCGTGGTCCCGCACGCCCCACGTGACACTTTACCGCGCGCCCGCAGTTGCCATGGGCCGGACCCTCGTCCATGTTCGTTTAAGTGCAGTTACCATGTCGCTGAATTGCGGTTGCCATGTCGGACAACTACAGTTGCCATGTTTGCTCAACTACAGTTGCCATCTCAGGTCAAAGTTCCACATTGCCATTTTTTGGACAACTACAGTTGTTGCCATGTGTGATCTGGTCTACTGCAGTTGGCATGATTTCAAAACTTTAGGAGTTGCCACCTACTAACACTAGGCAGTTGCCATGCAGCACTACAAAAAAAGGCATGGCAAAAAAACATGTTCAGGTAAAAGAGAGAGTTGCCATGTGATCACAAGCACGCTAGGACAGTTGCCATGTAAAAAAAAAGAGTTGACATCTGCTTACGTGCACGCTAGGGCAGTTTGCCATGTACCATGCAAAACATATGGCAACTGATATGTTCGGGTAAAAAAAGAGAGAGTTGCCATCTGCTTGCAATCACACTAGGGCAGTTGCCATCTGCTTGCAATCACACTAGGGCAGTTGCCATGTACACTGCAAAACGCATGGCAACTGGCAGCTTGGGTGTGGGAGAGGAGACGGGCGTGTGGGCGAGATGGCAAACGCCCACACACCAGCCCTTGTGCGTGACTGAAAACTGGTGTGTGGACGAACTGCTAAACGCCCACACACCGGCCCCTCCGTGTGGTAAAACAGATGTGTGGGTGACCTCTCTCACACACCACACACGCGAGTTGTCCTACGTGGCATACAAAATCTGCTAATTCGTGTCAAGATTCGTGCAGAAGTTACTAGACGGTGATGGAGGCGTGTGGGTGAGTTGGCTAACGCCCACACGTGTGGGCGTTAACATTTCCGTTAGTTTATGCCAATGTTGCCCCACCAAACTCTATGGATCACCAATTTTCCCGCTGATGTAATTCGTGGAGTGGCCGGCGATCTTGCCACGTCCACAAGTTAATACTCCCTCTGTCCCAAAATATAAGAATATTATGAGACGGAGGGAGTAGAATGCAACCTGTTTCACATAAAAAAGCATTGGCTAGCCAAAATTTTGGTTGCCCATGATTTGGCTAGCATTGGCAAGAAAAATGAACTAGAATTGGCTCAAGTTTATTGGCATGCCAAAAAATTGACAACCATTTAAACAAAGACCAATCTTTCGCTCATGACTAAAATTTTGGTAGGATGCACTTTGGCGACAATCCAAACACACTCGTAATAAAAGAGCATGTGTAAGCCACAATAAACAAATATTCCCCTCAAAGGTGTGTGCGGACGTAGTGCTCGTGTTATTTTTTGATTTATTTCAGACTTCTGGCGTCGGTGTACACAAACAGGGGTATTTGTTTCCCCCTGACTAGTGCACAGGCTTGCGGGGCCTCCCGGGCAAACTGCCCTTGCCGGGCATGACTAGACTTAAGAGAAGCGAGTCAACAAGAGACCACCTCAGGGAAGCCTCCCTTGTAGGGAAGGAGAGCCTGGCCAGGTCAAGGCAGCACCAGAAGAGCGAGACCAGTTTGCCCCGGCAAGGTTTCCGGGGTCGCCAAGACGAGAACCCGCCAGGCTCCTTGCCGGCAGGCTTTCAGCAAAACGCCATCACACCCCAGTCATTAATCAATGTGGTGTCAAGCTATCAGACAACCAGGTGGATCCTATCAAGCACGTGGCGGCGTGGTAAGAAAGAGATTAGCTTTATTGACACCCGTCCGGAGGACGTGTCACGCTAACAAGAAGAAGCAGATAAGCGGCGCGACAGGCTTGCCGGGCTTCAACCTCAGCACGACACCTAGCAGTGCATTTAATACACTTTGTCCTAACTGCCAGAGTTAGGTATGATAGCATCATTAGCTATCTAATCATCCTGAAATGACTGTTTTGCCACTGTGGTCGCCCTTTAACCTATAAAAGGAGGCCCGAGGCAACCTAGCAAAGGGTTTGAACATTTGATCCCTCAACACTTGTATGCACACGATGTTCTCCCCGAGGCAACCTTGTCGGGCTAGAGCATGTCGTGCCTTCGTGTTCCTCCAGATCAATGCACCATAGCAGGAGTAGGGTTTTACGCTGCAAAGCAGCCCGAACCTGGGTAAAAGAGAGCTGACATCACCGTGTTGCCCCCTGCTGCTTCTGCTCTTTGTGCAATGTGACCGTCCCCTTGTTGAACCACAAAGGGGCACCCCTATCCCATAGGTGATCGAGCTTCCACGCCGACATCTGGTGATGTTTGTTTGATGAGAGGAGACGTTTTCGTCGACTGCGAGGTGTTTATGATGACTTCATAAAATCTTTCGGAGGTGTTCATGGGGCAGGGTGTGCGTGTGTACGTTCACAGGGATGAGTGTATGCTCGTGTACGTGAGCGACTTTAATTATACTATGTTAAGAAAAGGTGTGTGCGAACATGCGGAATATGGGCTCATCATCGCTTCCTCATAGTTTGTAGGTTCATCATGGTCAAGTAACATGACCTCCAGAATAGGATTACCGTACCACTCTGGTGTGGACCTTACTTTGTTTGACCTACGAGGTTCGGTAGTAACTTGATCTGAAGTTTCATGATCATCATCATTAGCTTCCTCACTAATTGGTGTAGGAATCACTGGAACTGATTTCTGTGATAAACTACTTTCCAATTCGGGAGCAGGTACAATTACCTCATCAAGTTCTACTTTCCTCCCACTCACTTCTTTCGAGAGAAACTCCTTCTCTAGAAAGGATCCATTCTTAGCAACAAAGATCTTGCCTTCGGATCTATGATAGAAGGTGTATCCAATAGTTACTTTTGGGTATCCTATGAAGACACACTTCTCCGATATGGGTTTGAGCTTATCAGGCTGAAACTTTTTCACATAAGCATCACAAACCCAAACTTTAAGAAACGACAGCTTAGGTTTCTTTCTAAACCACAGTTCATACTGTGTCATCTCAACGGATTTAGACGGTGCCCTATTTAACGTGATTGTAGCTGTCTCTAATGCATAACCCCAAAATGATAGTGGTAAATCGGTAAGAGACATCAAAGATCGCACCATATCTAATAAATTACGGTTACGACGTTCGGACACACCATTACGCTGTGGTGTTCGAGGTGGCATGAGTTGAGAAACTATTCCACATTGTTTTAAATGAAGGCCAAACTCGTAACTCAAATATTCGCCTCCGCGATCAGATCGTAGAAACTTTCTTTTCTTGTTATGATGATTCTCCACTTCACTCTGAAATTCGTCTAATGCATAGTGATAAAGTAAAGCAATTACATGGCGTTTGCATTTCATACAATAAAACGACAACCGTAAGGCTCCTGCCTGTTGCCGATAACTTTTACAAAACATGATCATCTCATACAATAGCATATATCACATCATGTCTTGTTCATATCACATCACAACATGCCCTACAAAAACAAGTTAGACGTCCTCTACTTTGTTGTTGCAAGTTTTACGTGGCTGCTACATGCTTCTAGTAAAAACCGTTCTTACCACGCATCAAAACCACAATGGTGATTTATCAAGTTTGCTGTTTTAACCTTCAACAAGGACCAACTGTAGTCAAATTCGATTCAACTAAAGTTGGAGAAACAGACACCCGCCAACCACCTTTATGCAAAACAGGTTGCATGTCTGTCGGTGGAACCAGTCTCATGAACGTGGTCATGTAAGGTTGGTCCGGGCCGCTTCATCCAACAACATCGCCGAATCAAAATAAGACGTTGGTGGTAAGCAGTATGACTATCACCGCCCACAACTCTTTGTGTTCTACTCGTGCATATCATCTATGCATAGACCTGGCTCGGATGCCACTATTGGGGAACATAGCATGCAGCTTTAAAAAAATTCCTACGATCATGCAAGATCTATCTAGGAGACGCATAGCAACGAGAGGGGGAGAGTGTGTCCATGTACCCTCGTAGACCGAAAGCGGAAGCATTAACTTAACGCGGTTGATGTAGTCGAACGTCTTTGCGATCCAACTGATCAAGCACCAAACGTACGGCACCTTCGAGTTCTGCACACGTTCAGCTCGATGACGTCCCTCAGACTCTTGATCCAGCAAAGTGTCAAGGGAGAGTTTCGTCAACACGACGGTGTGGTGATGGTGATGGTGATGCGATCCGCGCAGGGCTTCGCCTAAGCACTACGACAATATGAGCGGAGGAGTAAACTATGGAGGGGGGCACCGCACACGGCTAAGAGAACAATTGATGTGTTTTGGGGTGCCCCCCGCCCCCGTATATAAAGGAGGAGAGGGGGAGGCCGGCCCTAGGGGCGCGCCATGGGGGGGACCGACTTGGACTCCTAGTCCTAGTCGGCCCCCACTTCCTTCTTACGGAGGGGGAAAGGGGGAAGGAGGGTGTGATAGCCTGGCTTATTAGGGATGATAGACTACTCATATCAATAAGGAATTCCTTCTTTTCCGGGAGCCCATTCGAAAAGAACTCCAAAGTTAAGCGTGCTCAGCTTGGAGTAGTTTCAGGATGGGTGACTGACCAGGAAGTTGCTCCCGGGTGTGCATGAGTGAGGACAAAGTGCACAAAAAAGACTAGTATTGATCTGTGGGGCCAGTCTAGATCCCGCGAGGAGTAACGACCACCGGCGGGTGTGTCCGGGGCGTTAGAGAGAGAGGGGGAAGGAAAGGGGGGCCGCGCCCCCTCCCCTTGTCCAATTTGGACTGCCCATGGGGGGGCACCCCTTGTGGGCTGTCCTCTCTCTCT